GCAGAACCAGGAGTTTTTAGATTGTTAGAGGACTTGGGGTAGAAGAAAACCACTCAACTCATACCACTCTTAGGGATTGAAGAGGGATTTATTTTCTACAAGTACATCTGATTTACATAAATTTTACAATTTTGCAAAATTTATCCAGGACTAAAACAATAAATAATTTGCAGACCTATTGCCCCAATGCTTGTAAAAGATTTGAGAATCGAAGGAGTGCAGGATGGTGGAGTTACGATTGCATGGAAATCTCCGATTGAAGGTGAATCTATTGTTCAGCAATTACGACAACCGATGTATGAAGTAAGACGAGTTATTTTTATTCGATTTTTTAATTATTATTTTCAAAATTATAATATACTAAATAATAATTTTTAGATTGAAGTGAAAAATAACGGTTCCGTTTTAATCACCGAAACTTTTCATAACTATCATACTTTCAACAATTTAAACCCATCCTATTCATATTCTTTCAAAGTAAATCATTTGTTTTTTTAATTTCTATGGCTTTTTTTCTATAGACAGGTGCAATATTATTATAGGACCCATCCTAAAATACAACTGTTGCTGAAACGCCCGGAGTGTGGAAAATTTACAGTATTTTCCAATCTACAAATAGCGAAAGATCCCGAAATAACTGATTTTAGCTCAATCAGTAGTGATAGTGATAGTATTTCAGTATTTCAATCGGTTAGCTGAGATTTGGAGTAGGCGCTATGGTAAAATTCAACTCTACAGTAGAGTTGAGCTTCAGCTGAGAATAAGCTTACAATGGATTTACTTAGAAGTCCAAATGCCTCTTTATGTCAGTGAACCTAGGCAAATTAATAATTTTTGAACAAGAAAAATATTGACAATTTATTGGTAATTTATTTATTTATTTGTAGGTTCGTTCGTAAAACTGTCAAAAAGTTATAAAATTGTAAAAAATCAAAAAATTAATCCTTTTAAATCTTTTTTCATAATTAAGGTTCGTGCTTTAACTGATTATGGATGGGGCTCATGGAGTGAGCCATTATGGTACAATCCGAATCGAGATTCGTTATCACCGATATATTCAACGATAGGCGATGGTTACGCTACGGATTCGAATAGAAATATTGCGTTAGTATATCTGTTCATTTTCATAAACGATGTAATATGTTACAATACTAGAAAATTTTTTTGTGTTTTTTATTTTAGTGATCATCATTGGTCGATGGCGTTCGGTTCACGAAAATGGCTATGGATAGCTCTTATATTTTTATTCATAATAATTATTCTTCTAATTTTTATAATATATATTTATCGTATACGTGGACGAAAACGTTTTAGTGATTGCGATGGTTTGGATCCATACAAAAATGGTTTATCGGCTATATCATTTTATTGCCTTTTCTTTTTCATATAATTTTTTGAAAACATACGAAATATGACTTAAATTTTTTCTTAGCGAAAAAGATTTTCTCTGAATCTTTTTTTACTGGTTTATTATCGGTTTTAAAGGTGAATGGAGAAAAATTCAAAGCAAAAATCTTTAAATTTCTGTAAAAAATAGTCTGAAATTAGTATTTTATATTAGAAATTAGTATTTTAATATATAAAAGAATTTTTTTTTTTGAGAAATCTAAACTAAAAAATCGTCTACACTGTTAGAGCTTTCTTGGTTGCGATAATCTAGTGGCAGTTAATATCAGGTTGAGAGTCCATAATTTGGCTCGAATGGGAGTAAATCGAGTAATGATCATTTTTATGAATACAATTCTGGGGCTAAAAAAAAAAAAATCCTATCTTAATCTCATAAATGTTTTATATGAATTCGTATTATTTATATTCAGAAAATCTAGAAAAAAAAGCATTACTTTGAATAATGACTACCTATCTATTTGTTGCAATTCATCCAATACAATTTTTATATTCCATCTTTAAATATTTTTTTTAAATTTTTATATTTTTTAAAATTACAGTGCGACAATATTCTTATACTTATGGTAGGATACGTTTTACTAGCATTATTCATCATTGTTATTGCTATTTATACAAATAGTGGTGATTGAAATAATGAACACATTGCTTTTGTATTTTAATAGGCTGCTTACTGTTTTGTTACTTAGTTTGCCAGCATAGATTAACGGAAGAAATAGTATTTCAGTTATGGAATAGTTGTTTTTATATTTCATTTGAGAAGATAGAAATATAGAAATAGTAGAAAAAAATGAGGCTTGGACCAGTCAAATTTTGCTAGAGAGTCACTTGACTGGAATTACAGGCGGATCGTCAACATCACCTATATTTTTTAAAAAAAGGCAATAGTACCAGTAAGTACTAGTATTGGCGCTCCAAAATGAGATCATAAAAACCTACCAAGTCATTTTGCTCCCATGGATGATTTATGCTTGAAAAAGCATATTCACCTATAATTTTCAACCACTAGCCAGAGATTGCCATTTGTATTAACGCTTTTGGAATTATTTATGTTGTGCAAAATATATTTTTATGAATAGTTAATGCTTTATTTCTATTTAAAATTTTTTTGAGGTGAATGAATTTTCTTCTTACTATTGCAGGTACTTTAACACCGGACTACAATGTACCATCGTCACAAGGTATTATGCAAAACGTATTCTGTGGCAAACGTAAGTTTTTCACGAAACTTTCACGAATTAAATATTTTTCTCGAAATTATATCTTTTTTTTTTGAACACTAAGACATTTTCCTACTAATTTTTATGGTACAACCACGTAAAAATTGGTAAACTAGGCAAAGTCATTTTTTGTGCTTTTCTTTTTCTTCTTCTAATAGTTCGTATTATGGCTGGCTTGGTTGATTCCACTGGACCTACTCTAATACCCTTTTGCTGTAATTTCTTACAGAGAAAGGATATTTGAAAACTGCAGAGAATAATTTGCTCCTTACTCATCGGCTTTAATCATCAGCAATCGAGGATATTGTCGTTGTTAAAGTCTTTAGATGCTTCATTCTGGTTCAAATATGCCAATTACCCATGGATCTTTAAGATAACCAAGAGATTTTGGAGAAATTTATGTTGTCTTTGCATTCGCATCTTGAGTCTAAGAATTCGCATATATGCATAACTTGACATTTGTTTAACTTCCATTGTTCAGCTAGTTTAGAGAAGTTCTTAGGCTCCAGAATTTATATCATTTTTGGTACTACTTTTTTGGGTCAATTTTTCATATAAGCTATGATATGTGCCACCCAGCTGGAGTTGTGCTGTACGAACATCATTTGAGAGTTATTTGGTCTACTCACCTTTTGAAGATAGGTACAAGTGAGTTTCTAGTATTTGCCTAAATTTGACTTTCATGATAAGTTTTCTCTTATCAATACAAGCAAGGAAATAATTTGTTAATTATGGTCACTGCGGAATTTTTTAATTGCTGTTACAAAAAGGAAATTATCTACATACTCATAAATTCATATTTATAAATTTCTTCCTCTACTTTAGTTTTTTCTCACTCTCTATTCGTTATTTGGTCATCAGTGAGAAATTATTATGGATTTCCTCTATTTACCAAAAAAATTTTCATTAAATATGAATCATTTATATACCAAAAAATTTTTAGTTGGTGTACCATTAATATCTTCTTATGGATCACCACAGTTAGCTTGTCATGGAAATTCAAGGTTTAAACCCTATGTCGATCCTACAGCTTACGAGGATCCAAACCAAGTATTTTATTATAATTTTATCACAATATTCATAAATTTGGCATATACTTTTTTTCTTAATGGTACTTATTTCTCATTTTTTCCACTGGTTATTAGATTCTTTCGCCACAGATCCATTTTTGCCGCAGATAGAAATTGCCACATATGCTGCTCCACAGCATTACTCAGAAAGTTTGTCAAGAAAGTTGAGTCCGTGGTATTTAATTGAAACAATGTATTAATTCATCATATTCCAGTCTAACTTGTAATTATAATTATAATTACAATAATTATTATTTATAATTATTATTTTTCCTTAAACTTCGGAAATTTCGCATAAAGAGAAAAAGTGAAAAAAACCTGGTATTATAAAAGGAATAATAATAATTATAGGCTTTATCGGAGTTTGCAAATGAGGTGGATCCATCACTGATTCGAATAACAGAAGTTATTGGAAGTGGTGAATTTGGTGAAGTATGTAAAGGCGTGCTTCAGTCTAATGTTCGCTTAAATGCCTATGATCTTCCTGAGGTAAAGGCTTAAAATTATGAAACAGGACATAGGAAAATTTTTTAATATTTAATTCGTTTTAATTTTCAATTTTTCAATTTTTTTTAATTTCGGTTTTTTCAAAAGAATATTTTAGGTTCAAACAGTAGCTATTAAAACTCTTAAACCAGGAAGTAGTGATAAAGCCAAAGGAGATTTTTTAATGGAAGCTTCAATTATGGGCCAATTCGATCATGAAAATGTCGTTAAGCTAGTTGGTGTAATAACGAAGAGTGAACCGGTTGCGTTTTCTACTAACTTTGATTATTCTATATTTTAAAATAAATATTATCAAAGCCAGCTGTTTTTTTTAATTTCTTTATATTGTGTTGGATTTAAGAAATATAATTAATTAGTTAAAATGATGGTTAAAAAAGAAAAACAAAATATAGCGCATTAATATTTCAATTTTCTAGGTGATGATCGTAACCGAATATTTGGAAAATGGTTCGCTTGATCAGTTTCTTCGT